GGGGTGGTGGAATCTGGAAGTAAATAGTGAGAGAAACACTGGAAAACCAAGTTGAAAATAGTAAAGGAAAAAAAAAAGGGGGATGTATGTAAAGATTATATTATGGGCCTTCATTTGCTGGGATGAACTTAAAATGAGGAACACACGAGGTACACCAATCTTATCCCATGCTTGTAGATATATCCGCAAGCAGGAGGAGGTGGGGCGGGGTTTACTTGGAAGTGTCCACGCATTCTCGTTTTTCCTGGTCTCCCTTTTGGGTAGTTGTAGTAAAACCAAATTTTTTGAATGCATTTTCTTTCCTCACTTTCTTTGTAGAGGCATGTATTTTTTTTTTTTTTTATTCATTTATACCTGTCTAAGTTGAAGGTTTCTTTTTTTTTTTTTATTGAATATTTATTGGAAAAAATAAAAATGAAAAAAAGCACTCGAGTATTAATAATATTTAATTACCTGTAGTTACACTCTTTGGAAAATAGTTTGACATGTATTTACTTGTTTCTCCTACCCACGAAGGAGGAACTCCATATGAAATATATGAAAGTAAAAAATGAATGCTTATTTTTATTTTTTACTTTTCTTATCAGTGTGTTTTTTTCTTTTACTTTCTTTTTTCTTCGTAGAGATGTTGGGGAAGTGCTGACTAGCTTTCCTATGGCTCATGCGATTATTATTTTTCCTTTTCTTTCTTTCTTTGTACACATTTTCACCATGGTATACCTTTCTTTCTCTATCTCTATCTCTCTCTCTCTCTCTCTCTATATATATATATATATATATATATATTTATCCCTCCCATTACTACTATTCCCGGGGTGTGTATACTTTTATTATTATTATTATATTATTATTATTATTATTAGTGTGTAGGGATCATGACGAACGTGGGCGAGGCGATTCTCACTGCCCTCGCGGCAGCGGCCGACCCGAACCCCGACACGCGCCACAGCGGCGAGGCACAACTGCAGCAACTCAAATCCCAGCCGGATGTGTTCTTCGCGGCCTGCGCGGATCTTCTCACGAACACCGCCGTCCCCAGCCGCGGCCGGCAGCTGGTGGGATATGTGCTCAAGAACCATCTCTCGCACCCCGCGTGTGTGCACAACGCCGCGCTGCAGGTGTCGGTGATGGAGCGGGCGGTGGTCGACGCGGAGAGCAGCATTCGCGGCGTGGCGTGCACCATCATCAGCTCCGCGGTGCGGGAGAATTATTGGCCAGTGGAACCGGTGGTGAAGTCCCTCACGGATATTCTCACCACGCGGCACGGGGAATTACACGCAGTCCACGGAGCCATGCGGGCACTTTCACAAATTGTGGATGATTGTGTTCAGCTTTTGGATATGCGGCAACTAACGGGAGTGGTGGTCGCGGCTGTTTTACCATATCTAAAGTCTCCCCCAGCAGGACGGGAAGGGAATGAAGTTCAACTAAAGGCGTTTGATTCGATTTCTGTGATATTGGAGCAGGCAGGTATTGACTGCAGTAGTTTCTCATACAGTAGTATGCGACCTCATGTACTGAATGTTATTGATGCTTGTTTTATGAATTTGCAGAATCCATCTTCTAAACAATTGGCAACAAAGTGTGTGAAATGTATTGTTCTTTCACTTGGATATCATGATCTTATCTCAGATGAATTATTTCATAAAATAACAAACCTTATGTCCATGGCCACAGCATCACCAGATGGAAGTGATGAAGAATTACGTATTGAAGCCACAGAATTCTGGCGTGGTGTTTTATGTTTCCCAAGATTTGCCATTCTTGTGGAACCCACACTTGAAAGTGTTATTCCAATATTAATTCGATCCATGGTGTATTCGGAAATGGAAATTGGTATGTTACAGGCAAGTGCTGAGGATTGGAATGTACCGGATAAGATAGATGATATCCGACCACGTCACTATCAAGCACGTGTTAATAACACAGGTGCAGGCGGTGATAATAATAATGATGATGATAACGATGATGGTGATGATGAAGATGGAGAAGTGGAAGAATGGAATTTACGACGAGTATCTGCTTTAACATTGGACTCCATTGCGGAACACTATGGTGATAAAATTATTTTCACTGTTTTAGGAGTTATTGATGGTATGATGCGACCAAGCAGTTCATGGAAAGAGTTAGAAGCTGCTATTTTAGCTTTGGGAGCTATTATGGATGGATGTTTTGACTCCATGTCACCTTATTTACCTGATATCAGCACTCGACTTTTACAATTACTTTCAGATCCTTCTGTGCATTTTCTAGTTGGAAATATCTCATTATGGACAATGACACAGATTGGGCGATATATTGTATCTGTACCTGAGAAACTTCAAACATTTTTACGATGCATTCTTCAAAAGATGCAAAGTCCTTCTAAACTTATGCAAGAAGGAGCTACTGCAGCATTACAAAAAACGATTCTTCTTTGTAGTGAAGGAGAATTGAATAATGATATTCCTCTTATTGTTGATTGTGTAGTAAAATGTCTACGTGGATATCAACTTAAAAATCGTGTTTTGCTCTTTGAAACATTGGAAACTATTTGTGAAGAACTTGGAGAAACATTACGCACCAGTCCTGATAGTGTGGAAATGCTTATGGCTCCACTTGGAGAGATTTGGAGTAGCACACCTAATGACAGTCCCTTACTCTTTTCCTTCTTTAAATGTATGTCCAGTGTATGTAGAGCCTTGGGACCCGCATTGCAGCCGGCGTTAGCAAAAGATATTTTTGAACGTTCATATGGATTGCTGGTCACGCATGTACACGCACGTACGGAGGCGCAGCGAATGAATCAAGATCCACCGGAGTATGAATTCCTCGTCACGGCTTCTGATTTACTCTCTGGTTTATTTGATGCGATTGGATCAAACTTGGAGCCGCTGGTGATGCAGTGTCAACCACCATTTGTAGCCACAGTACTGCAGACCGTGCGGGATGAGGATGCGGAGATTCGACAGAGTGGATTTTCACTTCTTGGGGATTTGGCAAAGAGTTCACCAGCAAGTGTACAGGCGGTGTTGGGAGATGTGATAAAGGCCTCATTAGAGAATCTTGCCCATCTTAACGAATCCACCTACCGCGTCATCAGTAATGTCGCCTGGTTTCTCTGTAATCTGCTGGAGAATCAAATGGATATTAATAACCTTCCGGTGTTGGATGCCACTCATGGTTTACCGCAGGTGTTTGCCGCCGTCGCCCATGTGTTGAGTACCGCCCCGCAAACGGCAGATATGCGGAATATGGCAGAGAACTTGTGTATATGTCTTGGTCTTCTCTTGTATACATGCCCTGGAGTGGAAACAACTTCGGGTTGTCATGTCGCTCTCTTCGCAGAGGCTTTCTGTGCGTATATGCGGAATGTGCGAGATGCCCCTTATAAGGAACAGGCGGTGCGTGGATTTCTCATTGCTGTCCAACAACAAATCCCATTGGTGGTGAATCTTTTACATCTATTCTTTGATCTTGCCCTCTCGATAGCAACAGCATCGCCGGATTTAAAACGGGCCATGGGGGATTTATTGGCGGCCGCGAAGGCACACGATGGCGGGCGGTGGCAGCAGCAACTCGGCAATTACAGTGAACAGCTCAGGACACGGTTGTATCACGTCTACGGCATTCAATAATAAGAAAAGAAAAAAAGAAAAGAAAATGGAGGGAAGAAAAGAAAGAGCAAGAAGATAAATATATATATATATATATATATAGAATCGACTAAAAGGGCAGGAAAATAATAAAGAAAAAAAAAAGAAAAAAAAGAAAGGAAGAAAATGATGGGGACCAGTGTGAAATGGTGCACCTTAAAATGAGGAATGAAGTCATGAGAAGAAAGAAACGCAAGAAAAAAAAAAGAAAAGAAGATTCAAGAAAAAATGAGAACATATACCCCATCCAACAACAGCGACAATGCACTGTACCTGAATACATAAGAAGATATATATATATATAGACCTATTGTCTTTATTTGTGTCTCTTTCTTTCTTCCTTTGTGTGTCTTTATATTTCATTGTTTTATTCTCTTATTTTTTCTATTTCTATTTTCTTCTTTATTATTATTACTTCTCAAAACTCTATGCTGTACAACAAAACAAAACAAAACAAAACAAAAAAGCGATTCTCTAATGGCATGTGACCGCATGCCAGAGTTTCTCTCCCTCTGTGGAAAACACAAGCACCACAGATCTGCAAAGCCCAATGCAGAAAGTAACAGTAATAGTAATAGCAGTAGTATGAATCTTCCTATTAATGATGAAACTAAATACATCTTCTCCACCCTTAATGATATACGGCAACTAATGACAACACTTACACTACTACACAAGACCCGTCTGTTGGATAGTAGTAACGAAAAGCGGGAAGTTGTACATAATACCATGGAAGAAATACGTCTGATGTGCCACTCCTGTCGTGAGATGATTATTAATTATGATCACCATACACAAGAAAAAGAAGAGGAACTTGCAAAAGGCATTCCATCCATGAATACGGCGGAGATTCGTATGCGGTATAATATTGCCGCATTTATGGAATATCAACTCATGGCAGAAGTACGTAGTGTGTGGATGGAACAGAAAAAACATGAAGAGAAATTAATTGAAGCGACAGCCAGACGTATTAAGGCACGTTTTCTCTTAACGCAGAGTAGTAAGAGCAGTGATAATAATAATAATAATAATAGGGCTACGGATGACTCTTTTGTATTGGAAGAATCGGAGCTAAGAGAAATTGCACAACAGATATTAGCGACTGGAAATGAGGGTCGTTTGTTTTTTTTGGCCCGTGATGAGTTGGAGCGGGTGATGCGAACACGAGATGCGGTGTTGGAACTGGAGCGGGAAATGCAGGATCTCCTTAACTTATTTAGTGATCTTTTCTTTCTCGTGAATGAACAACACGATCGATTACTGAAGGTTCAAGAGAATGTTCAAAAATCTAATGAGAACTTAGAGCGAGGAATGCGGCAACTCACAGAGGCAAAACATCATGAGAAAAGTTGTTGTAATGTGATCTAATGATGTAACCACATACTTTTCTTTTCTTTCTTTTTACTCTCTCTTTCTCTCTCTTTATGTGTGTGTGTGTGTGTGTGTTTGTGTTTTTTCTCCCTTTCTTTATCGATATTCTTTCTTATTATTACTATTACTACTACTAATATTACTACTACTACTACTAACTCCAGAGTTGCCAAAGTGGAATGTAAAAGGATTTCTTATTATGATTATGATGATGATGATATTGGAGTATTCCACAAACAAGAAAAAAAAAGAAATATTCATATATATATACATATATGTATTAAGAGTTCAATACGTGAAATTGATGGTGGACGTTGTTTATGCGATTCTATGCTTAGTACCATCCAGTTAAAGGTGTTGCTGTTGGAGAGCAGCATTACAAATAGAAGAAAAATAATTGATGACTAACGCGGTTGTGTGTGTGTGTGTGTGTGTGTGTGAGTGGGAGGGAAGGGTTGAGTGGGAGAAGTTTGAATATACTCGTTTCTTCACAATTCGCATTTCTAATGGGTGTTGTTTTCGTAGTATTTCTTGCAGCTTCTGGTGGATTGAATTTCTCTCCCTTCGATGGGAATAAATAAATAATAAAGGGAGGTGTATGATTCTTTTGTTTTTTTTTTTCTCCATCTGCAAAATATACACTCTATCTCTCTCTCTCTCTCTCTCTCTCTCTGCATTTCTTGGTTATTGAAATTTTAAAAAAAAAACAAAGGAAAGGAAGAAAACATAAATAAAATAATACATAATAATAATTAAAGTATAGATATATAGATATATATATTTGGGCCTTCAATGAAGTCTATAACAGTAAAAAACTTTACAGATGTTTTCCCAGGATTTGTGCAGGATCTCCATGATGCCAGTTACATTGCCATTGATCTTGAGTTTACTGGCATTGACCGCAAGGCAGAGGTGGACTATTTAACTTCACCCAAAAATGCCTGTGAGGAGAAGTTAAGAGCCGCACGTCTGTATAGTCCCATGCAACTAGGGATTAGTATATTCCGCGGTGATGCCTTATTAGACGATGTTAATAATAATAATAATAATAATAATAATAATAATAATGCCGCTGCTGCCGCTTCTTCATCATCTCATTATTATCCCTCTGTTGTTGTTGGAATGGGAACAGCGGCATCATCGCATCGTTCGACCGGATTGTGTGCGTCTGCGAGTTACCGTGAAACGATGATAAGAGAGGCGATGGCCTTTCGTCCATTAGAACCCGCCGCAAAGGCAATTGGGCCAATAGTTCATTCCATCGCACAGAATGGAGTAGTCAGAACAGAAGATATTGAAAAACTGCGGCAACTTTTACATGAAGTACAGCAAGAGTCTTCCATGACAAGTAAAACTTGCGTGTACGATCATCTCTTTTCTTTTTTAGCTGAAGATGAGATTCGTGAAGCTATTGTAATGGTTGAGAGATGGAAAGAAAATATTGAAAGTGGGGCACGTCACTTGTTTGTTCGAAACTACAGTTGTTATTTAATTCCTGCTGTTCGTGATAATGATGTGGACCGTGATGTGGTACTCTCTGTAGAAACCGTGGCATTTCTACAAAAGAACAATATGGATTGGAACAAGTGGATTGGCGAAAGTCTTCCACTTCTTTCATTAGAGGATTACGCCGCCGCACGAACTGCCGCACAACAAGGGATTGTGAATACAAAAAGTATCTCTATAGTGGATGAGGCATTAATATCTCTGAGAGAGTGGATAGATTCCCTTCCGGATTTCCTTATACAGATGAAATTATCTGCACAGTACTCCCGCATTGATAATCTTGTGCGTACAGGTGCATTGGGTGAAGCGGTCCCAGTAGATTTTCCTTTTATCAAGCCTCAGGAGAATGCCAAACTGTGTGAACTTCTACGTGCTTTGGGATTACGAAAAACAGGGAGAACGCTTACAAAATTTTCACTTCTCTCCAATACAAGGAAAAGTTCTAGTGGTAGTGTATTGGCGTGTGAATCTCGTTTCTTTGGGGCACGCGTGTTAGAAGCTTTAGTGAATGCCACCCGTCGTAAAAAGAAACCACTCATTATTCACAATGGATTATCCGATTTGGCCTTTCTCTGTTGTGCCATGCATAATAACCCACCAAAGATGGAAAGAGAATTAAAAATGATGGTAAGAGAAATGTTCCCACTATTTTACGATACCCGAACACTTTGTTGTGCCCCATCCTTACAACATATTCCTAACGTCACTGGTCCGTTGGTAAAAGTTTACAATCTTTTCAAGAATCAAAATAACACAGCCGTGCAAGTCTCTCTCGACACATTCTTTGTAAAAAATCAAGGAGAGGGATTAAGTATTAGGGAACATGATGCGGCCTTTGATGCCTTCACGACGGGATCTCTCTTTGCATTTGTACAGGATGAACTTCGAAAAGTCGGTGTGGACTTTCATCGACTGCGGTGTATTACGCCTATTTACGGATCTGTCTTTTCCGTCCAGTTTGAAAACAACGAGGTGGATTGTATTATGCAGAATCCATCCGCACCTATGTATGCGATTAAACGACAGCCGCATGTTCCTTTGAATATAGAAGTACTTCGAGAGAATATTTCAAGTATCACGCGATCTATATCGGTTATTTATAACCCAGAGATTTGCTTTATTACTCTTGGAAATAATGCCTTATCGAATGCAGAAGAACAGAATCTGGAGACATCTATTCAATTCTGGTGTACAAATAATGGATTTACATTCCAGCGTCTTGATATTGTCTCTCGTATGCGTGAGTATGGTATTATGCCCTTCATCTAATTAAGCGTGGCCGAGAGACTCTTCGGTAGATATTTCTTTCCTTTAGGACAAATATTGCCAATGTGCTCTGAACTCTCTGTGTTTGTGTGTGTTTGTTTGTGTACATCATTATTATTATCATCATCAATTTACTTTTGGAAAATGTTTTTCTTCTTGAGTCATTTTTTTTTTTGTTTATAAAAAGTTTTAAGGGGAACGGTTTTTCTTTTTTTACTTTTTTTTTTCTTTTCTTTTTTTTTATTGTTTTCTTGTTAGCTGATGGTGTACGCTGCTGTTTTTTTTTTTTTTTTTT